ATCCTCCGTCAGGAGCCGTCAGTGTATAAATATATTTTTTTATAAGATAAGGGTGACAAACACTCAGTCCACTTGATGCTAAGTAGTTGCTTTGGCCCACGGACATCTACATCTATACTTGACTACGAATCAAAATGCAGATGCGTTGTCACCCGTAAGGACTGAGATGGAATGTCTCATTTCCAATAAAAAGGTTCTCTGGTTCTCTACACTCACTATACAAAACAACAGCGTTACGCTGCTATTTTATACTGGTATTCTGTGAGAACGTAGTCCTTCCCCGGTCGAGTCCGATCCATTCGTGCTACAACTATAACACTAATACACACATACATAGATTAATATAATAAAAAACTTTTATGTATATTAATAGAGCGGCAATTAAGAACAAAAACTGTGTTACAGCTGAAGATCGTGCGGGCGCATCCCGCCGACGTCCGCGCCCTACGCTGTGCCCAAAGTGCGCACATGAATAATGACACCGTTTTCTTAGTCACATTAAACAAAACCAGTGTTACAATTGTCGAAAACAATGGTTGCGATTTAAAAAAAACAAAGAACTAGTGCAATGAATAATTATATTTACGCGAACACTACAAATTGAATAAAACTACTTTTATGATTTTATGGCGTTCTATTGTACTTTTTTTATTTCCCAACGTTTTGAGGAATTAAAAATAACCAGAATTAAACGCGATAATCCGTATCCGTATCCGTAAAATAAGTTTAATATTCACACATTAACACTCGCAATCGTTATTCGATTGCGAGTGTTAATGTTGAGTTACTGAGGATTGAGTGCAAAAGTGTGCAATGTATTTAGTACCGTATTGCACGTCTATTAGTATACATAGAATTTTTTTTGATTTTTTTTTTGTTTGAATATAATATTAAAATACCTAGGTGGATTGAAAAGTACTCGGCCTAACACAGATCCATTCAATTCTAAAAATCAAATCTACCCACATTATTTAGTTCAGTTCAGACTAGTTCATTGTGTGAAGTTCGAAACGTGTGCGATAATTAGTTGTGATTTTATAAATTTATTAACAAAGTAATCGGACATAATTTCCGCGAATGGAGCAAATCGAGCAGCGTGCCGTCATTAAGTACCTCCATAAGAAGGGGCTATCATCAAAAGCCATCCATGATGACATGGTCAGTACATTAGGCGATTGTGTTCTGTCATATTCATCCGTCAAAAAATGAATAGCAGAATTTAAGCGTGGTAGAGAGAGTGTGAAAGATGAACCCCGCTCTGGAAGGCCTTCGACGTCAACTACTGACGAAAATATTAAAAAAGTACTTGATTTAATAATGGGAGACCGCAGATTAAAAATTAGAGAGATAGCCGAGATTATAGGCATCTCTTATGAATGAACTCAAAACATCATTGTCAACGAGTTGGGTTTCCACAAGGTGTCTGCGAGGTGGGTTCCGCGACTGCTTTCAGTTGAACAAAAAAGGACGCGATTGACTATTTCACGCGACTATTTGGAGTTATTTGAAGCCGATGCAGATGATTTTTTGAATCGTTTTGTTACTATGGACGAAACATGGGTTCATTACTGTACACCGGAAACAAAACAACAATTAAAACAGTGGAGAAGACCTGGTTCACCACCCCCTAAAAAGGCTAAGTCGATTTTGTCGGTAAATAAGGTGATGGCTTCAGTATTCTGGGACTCGAAAGGTGTGATTATGATTGACTATCTTGAAAGGGGTCAGACTATAAACTCTGATTACTACTGCACCTTACTACGTCGTTTACGAGAGGAAATAAAAGAAAAACATCGAGGAATGCTCAGAAGAAAAGTCCTGTTTCATCAAGATAACGCCCGTGTTCACACGTCAGTACAGTCAATGGCTGAAATTCACAACTGTGGCTTTGAACTGTTACCGCATCCGCCGTATTCACCTGATCTGGCACCATCAGACTTCTTTCTATTCCCTAACCTAAAAAAGCACTTGGGAGGTCAAAGATTTTCGACAAACGACGAGGTCAAAGCAGCTGTAGACGCATATTTTGACTCTAAGGAAGAATCATTTTTTTTCAACGGTCTAAATGCTTGGAAGGGGAGGTGGCAAAAGTCTATTGAACTTGATGGTGATTATGTAGAAAAATAAAAATATAACTGATTTAGTATGTGTTTATTTTCTTGGTTAGGCCGAGTACTTTTCAATCCACCCTCGTAACAATAGCGAAGTGGCCGATGACGAAGTAGCGCGGGGCGAGGTGATGAAGTGGCGCGGGGCGAGATGGCGAAGGGGCGCAGGGCAAGATGGCGAAGGGGCGAAGTGGCGAGGGGCGAGGTGGCGAAGTGGCGCGGGACGAGATGGCGAGGTGGCGAGGTGGCGAGGTGGCGAAGTGGCGCGGGGCGAGGTGGCGAGGTGGCGAGGATGCAAGGTAGCGAAGTCGCGAGGTGGCGAGGTCGTGAGATGGCGAGGTGGCGAGGACGCGAGGTGGCGAGGTGGCGAGGTGGCAAGGTGGCAAGGTGACGAGGTGGCGAGGTGGCGAGGTGGCGAGGTGGCGAGGTGGCTAGATGGCGAGGTGGCTAGGTGGCACGGAGCGAGGTGCCGAGGTGGCGAGATGGCGAAATGACGAGGTGGCGAGGTCGCAAGGTCGTGAGATGGCGAGGTGGTAAGGTGGTGAGAAGGCGAGATCGCAAGGTGGTGAGGTGACGAGATCGCGAGATGGCGAGGTGGTGAGGTCGCGAGATGGCGATATGACGAGATGGCGAGGTGGCGAGGTGGCGACGTCGCAAGGTCGTGAGATGGCGAAGTGGCAAGGTGGTGAGGTGGCGAGATCGCGAAGTGGGGAGATGAGATCGCGAGGTGGTGAGGTGACGAGGTCGTAAGGTCGTGAGATGGCGAAGTGGCAAGGTGGTGAGGTGGCGAGATCGCGAAGTGGTGAGATGAGATCGCGAGGTGATGAGGTGACGAGGTCGCGAGATGGCGAGGTCGCGAGGTGGCGAGGTGGCGAGGTGGTGAGGTTGCGAGGTGGCCAGGTGGCGAGGCGGCAAGGTGGTGATGTGGCGAGATTGCGAGGTGGTGAGGTGACGAGGTCGCGAGATGGCGAGATGGCGAGGTGGCGAAATGGCGAGATGGCGAGATGGCGAGGTGGCAAGGTATGTGCGTGTACCTTGCTGCGCGGGCGTGGCGCGGCGCGGGCCGCCGGGCGAGGGCGGCGACAGGCGCGGGTTGGAGTCGAGGCGGCTCTCCAGCCAGTCGTTCTTGACGGGCGGCGGCACAGGCGTGCTCACCGTCGCCATCGATACGTCGCCGATGATGTGCAGCGCCTCCTTGCACGCGTGATACATTCGCAGCATCTCCTCGCGCTTCTGGGCCTCCTCCGGCGACTCCTCCATCATTTGCGACTGTCCAAGCATAATTTGTTTGTGAGAAAATTTTACTTTTAACAAAAAGTAAAAGCCGACTTCAAATAACATCCACATAACTTCAAAAGTGGGTCCTAAGACGTAGTATAAAGGAATATTAAAGCCCTCTATTTCAGAAGTAGCGGCTTTTAAAGTCGAGGCCTTTAAAATCATGTTCAAACCATTTTATGCACTATGCATTTATGCTTTTTAGTTCTTTGAAGGCAGATTTTTATTTTTCATAGCCATCATCATCATTACAGCCATTCAGAAGCCAACAGCTGAAAATACTCCTATATATAGTCTAATGGGAATTGTTTGCCGACAGGAAACTTTCCGCGACTTCTTTTCATTATGCTACTACGCGTTTGATCATCATTATTCAATCCGTAAGCATCCACTACATACTGCACAGTGGCCTCCCCAGTAATAAGGTTTGATTTATTTATACAAAATTATAATAATATTAAATCATAATAGCCTAGCTAGTTTCATTATAGTGGCAGTTTAGAAAAATACATCTTGCCATTTTGTTTTGTGATTATCATAAAAACCATTGCAAATTCTTTTACGCACAAAAATTATGACTATTTAATAAATACGCTAAGGCTGTATAACTCCCTCATTTTACTACGTTTTTATTAAGTCACTTTCTTGTTTGTCTGGAGTTCCTGGTGGAATTTAGTAATTAAATTTAAACAAACTTCCCGTTGAGCTCGAAACTTGGAGTTTTCTATATCCGCTCAACAGTCAAAACATCCATCCCGGCTATGTGTCAAATATATATTGTCAGTAACTGTCAAAAATTGCGGTGATTCAATTCCCGCCATTTTCCGCCATTTTGTTTTATAATGTTGTTTTGAAGTTACTATTATACTTCTCTTTTAACACTAATGTTATAATAATATATAAACTTAGATAAGAAAAACATGTTTATTATATTTTATTGTATAAACCATAACATTATAGCCATATATTTAAAGAAAACACAATATTAAGTAAATTATTTATCCCGGGCAGTAAAAACACGCAATGGTTGCAACATATAAGAAATGATGCCATTTATAAAGATACTATTGAGGGGTTAAAGCTCAAATTCGGATGACAATGCAAGAATAGGATTAAAAAAGTGGTGCTCTTTTAAAAATTTTCACTTGATTACCCAACATAGTTGTTATTGAAAACTGGGTGAACAAATAATTTAAGCTACGGCAGAAAATAACACAATTTACTAATGCATAGGTATTTATTTTACTGCCTCGTTGGTCTAGTGGTTGTAATAGTGCGACAGCTGATCATGAGGTTGTGGGTTCGAATCCCAGGTCGGGCCAAAAAATCAATTATTGAGTTTTTCTGTCAAGAAATTCTCAGTAGCTGCCCGGAGTCAGGAAGTTGGCGGTTTCTCACCCCCGTGCCTCGGAAAGCACGTAAAGCCGTTGGCCCTGCGCCTTATCTCTCTCCCGGTCGTGTCGGTTTACCGTCCCATCGGATTATGAGAGTGAGGGAATAGAGAGTGCACCTGTGCTTGCGCATACACTTGAGCACTATAATCCTGTCCTGCGCCGATGGCTGGCCTCCGTTGAGGCTGGCCGCAGTGACCGAAATTCGGTCTGGAAGACATTATTATTTTATTAGGTATTTAATTAATATTACCTGATCACCCGATGCGTACAAATGCGCGAGCAGCTCCCCATTAATAAAATCTTTGGCGTTGTTGATGATCATCATCATTATAGTCTTAGGCACGAGATCACGCGTCGTCTTCGTAACAATGCGCATGTAGGAATCGACTAGGTTTCGAATAGTCTCCACCTGCCTCTCTAACTGCGGGTCCATACTGCTCGAACCAGCACTATCCGAGTTCTGTAAAGAGAAATACCCTCTGTCAAAGATGTGTATGTGTAACTTAATTAATCTTGTTTTGTCTTTGTTTGTGTTGTTCAGAGTATGCAGATTCCAAGTATTGTGTTAGCTTCATGTTTCATGAATGGATTATTTAATGAACATTAAAATGAAGCCAAACAGATGAAAAAAATAAAAAATAAACAATTTATATATTATTCATCCTGAAGCATATTGACTCCATATGGATTGCTGGCCCATCTCCCAAGAAAAAATCCACGGAAACATTATGTTTGAATGGAGTTTGAAATAAAGGTAGAAGAACCTAGTGATCCACCATTTTTTAATTAAAAAAAACCTTTGCATTTAAGCAAACAGAGAATATTCCCTATGAAATTATTCTATATAAAATCACTAGAAGACTCTTTCGAGATTTGACTTAGAATTAATTTTATATAATTGTAAATTTGATTTTTAAGCACATTAATTGCATTTTTTGCATGAATTATTCAATACAATTTATATTGTTCAGAATAAAATAAGTTAAAATTAAGCCTTCTAGTGATTTGTTGCTTGCTATTTTATTTTAGAATAAGAAAACTTTCAGGATTTTAAATTGAAATTTTGAAGAAAGAAAATTACTAACTACCTTTCTTGTTTTAATTTATAACTTTCAATTATAATTTTCTTTTCTTGTTCAGGGGATGTTTAGGAGCGACTCAAGCTCCAAAAATGTTAGTCTGCTGTACTCCTACAGCTGTTTGGATGAAAATGAAAAGCATCCATGAGGGCTTTTTTACACACAATTATCTATGAAAGACATACTGACTTGAATATGAAATAAATATAAAATCGAATTGGTATAAAATTCTGTTAATCCCTTTATTAGCTATTGCTCAATTTTCCTCATAAAACGACTCTTAAAAACAATATTTAAAGTATTAACAATATTTATAATATTATATACTTAAAATGATGAGAATGTGTTAATGTTTTTGTTGTGTTGGTTTTTACGTAGTTGAGTATTTTTAGCATTATCTACATAAACACATTTCTAATTATGTATGAAAACATATTGATTATTATTATTACTAGAATTCGACTGAATGTCTTTTTTAATGTTCGTTATTGTCTTATTCCTCTGCCCCGAGTGACATAAACACACAACCGTTTCTATATAAATAATTTTATTTGAACATTTTCAAAAACCGAGAACGAAAAAACATAAGCATACAGTCGAAATCTAGCGACAACTGCAGGCTCACACGCAATAAATATTTAGGAAAAATTCTAGATGAGAGCTCAGCATATGCGAAATGTTTTACAGGAACTTTAAACATAGAATACTACAAATAGCAGTTGTAACCAATTGCAAATTCTTGTCCTAAAACACTTTGTGCATCACTTTCATGCTATAAAATAAACGAGTTACAATATTGATATTTTTACAATTTAATTCATTTTGTTATTTAAACCAATAATTTAAAACATGTGAAAGTAAACAATAAAATCTCTACACGCAAATATCTAGCGCAAAAGAGCAAAATGTATTTCATGGGTACAATTTCCTTTCAAAATGTGACAAATCAATTTGCCACTTGTTATTTCAACTGACCATGTCTGGAAATGCATTAGTAAAGACTTGATTAACACATCCAAAATAATAATGTTATATGAGCCGGAACGAATTTAAAAAGCCTTCCAAAATTTTTGTCTACACTCTACATACATGTCATGGCACATTAATTTAGCCAATTAAAATTATTGCTCATGCAATTAAATTTTCAAGTGCAAACAGCTCAAACTTACTGAAAAATCACCTCTAGGCGTTTTCAAACTCAGCAAACAAAGCTCTGAATTACTAATCACTTACTTTCTTACTTTCAGCCAACCACAGAGGCAGAAATAACTAAAAAATGAAAAAAGAACATAAAAAAATAAAAATGGTTAAAAGAACCACAAGAACGATCGATAAGATGCAATTGTGCTATTAAATAAGCTTATTATTCCTGCTCATATAAAATATTACGATAAGATGCTAGATTTTAGCGTGTGCGATATATTTAATAGCTAACATTTACTATTCTTCAAGTCTTATAATATAATTTCGTTATGTATTTCAAGAGAATAAACTATGAAGCATGTTTATAATAGAACACACTTTAAAATAGTGTTTCATTAAATTGATCAAGACTCTTGAAATTCATCATACAAGCAAAAACCAACATAGATGTTATCAACTAAATGATTCTGAATATTGTTTTAAAAACCCTACAAAGACAAACCTCATTTCCTTCGCCCTGTATAGCATAACAGAATAACACATTAATGTGTAAACTTAAAATTCGCATAAACACTTTACATACCTTATACATTAAATATAAATATTTAAAAATGCTAAATTATTTTTAACAATAAATAAGTACAAATAGTTAAGAAAAGCGTATTAATAAAAGGAATAATGATCACATAGTCAAAGAAGGAAAAGGAAAGCTATATTAAATAAAATCATTGAAGCATCTTTACAATAATTAACTTACTTCTTCCCCATTTGAGGCTTCCGATGTCTTCTCAGGGTAAACTCCAGCTCTAAGGAAGGACGCTTTCCACGAATCAACGTCATCTTGTGTCTCGCACGACAACTCTAGCTGCTTGTAGTCCTATGACAGAATATAATATAACATTGTGACCAAACCTGAGCTAGTATGTATTGATCCTTAGTTGATGTAAAAATTATGTAACGAAATTTACTAAGTAAGTGGATTCATAATATTATATTAATTAAAGTTGTAAGTAATTTGTTTATTTATTATATGGACAGCAAAACAGATAACAATGAAAATACATTATATATATATATATATATATAACAGTTTTGTACCAGATTGTTTTCCTAAATATGTTGACACATCATTTTTATATTTTACTACAGGAGAGATCAAATCTGCGCTACGCAACAATATTAATGCCATACATTACTACATAATACAAAGAATGAGTTTAACAAACAAAAAACTTATGTGATATGGGAATGAGATAACTGTAAGCTCTTTTACTGCTCTTTTGAATACCCTGGATCTTGGGTCAAAAATATCCAAGTCGGAGTCTTTCATGGATATCTCGTTGTAAAGTCGACACATTCTTATTATCGGGTTGTAAAAAGAAGTTTTATTCTTATAAGTCTGGAGTAAAATGTCTTGCTAGGAATTCGGGGATTGCGCTTTGTTATTAAGTTTAATTTACTTAAGAGGTAATCGGAATCAATCTCATTATGGAGAATTTTACGTAAATATATAAGGTCATATTCCTTACAGCGAATAAGTAAAGAGGTCACTTTAAATTTGTCGAGTCCCTCACTATAGCTAACAAGACTGCGGGCAAGACCACATTTGTAGCTAAGTATTCCAAGGGTTCGTTTTTGGACGCTTTCTATACTATCCGAATGCACCGTGCAGCAGGGAGACCACAAGCATATTCAAGAATACTACGGACAAGGCTATATTATAAACGGTCAGGAAGCTTTGAGGCTGTGTGAAGTCCTTAGTGCATCTCGTTATAAAACATAGTAACAGGTATGCTTTGTTTTTAATGTGAGCATAGTGCTCACGAAATGTTAATTTAGAGTCAAACAGTACACCCAGATCTTTAGCTACTGTTTTCCTGTCTAATGAATATTCGTTAATTTTATTGTCATAAGTCTGTTTATATCTCTTATTTGTGAACGTTATAATAAAACACTTTTTAACATTGAGATGCATATCGTTAAGTGGGCAACATTCAGATATTGAATCAATATCATCTTGTCACATACTATCAGCTTACCACAGTCAGATAAATCCTGTATTACATGGTATATTTTCAACTCATCTGCATATAGAAAGGACTTGTCAGTTAACAAATTAGATCGTTTATGAATATAATAAAAAATAAGGGAGCGAGATGTGAACCCTGAGGAACACCGGATTTAACAGTGACAGGAGATGACGTGGAACCTTTAAGAGCGTCAAGTTGGCTTCTATTATCGAGATACGAATGAACTCAGCGCAGTAGATTTCCATGAATACACGACATAGCTAATATTTTACAGAGTAAAGAATGATTTACATTGTCGAAAGTTTTTGCAGTCAGTGTACACGGCATCTTGCCCACGGACTGCGAAAACCTCGCACAAGTAGTTTTTGTACTCCAACTAATTAGTCACTGTTGATCTGCCTCTCACAAGACCGTGCCGCTTGCTAGGTATAAGCGGCTTAACTTGAGAGTAAAAATGATCACACAACACAGATTCAAAAACATTAGCAACACAGCACAAAATGCTAATACAGTTGAACGTCGTATGTATATATATATATATATATTACAAAGTGGTTAAGCTGACAATTGCGGATATTAAAACCAAAAAACGACCATATCCAATTTTATATCCAAAGACGATTTTACTAATGGATCGACAAGTCGTAAAACTACGAAGCTCACCATGAACACAGATCTCGATGACGCTGTTTACAAGTGATTTACACAAAAAAATCGTAAGGAGAACTTATCTCTGATGCCGTTCTATGTGAAAAGGCAAAACATTAAATGAAAAACTTGGAGGACCGTCGAACTTTCAAGCAAGCACGGGCTGGTTAAAACGTTTAAGTCAAGACATGGCATTCGTGAGCTTCAAATACAAAGAGAAAAACTGTCTGCTGGTTCTTCAGCAGCTGATTCTTTCAAAATCTAATTAAGCGACGTATAGAAACAAGAAAATTACGTTTTAGAAAACTCAGAACTTTAGGCACCTGGTCTACAGTAAATAATCGTATCACTGCTCTAGCTTGTATTACAACGGTTATAAATTAAATTTATATTACATATTATAAATATGTTTTTATTAGTACATTGGTACATTATTTATATTATTATATAATATTTATATTATTATTGGTACATATTCGCTTACGGAGCTCGAATCGAGCAGTCGTGCCTATCAGCAATACAAGTGTTTAAATATTTTCAATAAAACTGTGACCTAGATAAACTATTGAAAAATTTCTGTTGAGTTGTGATTTCACGAATAACAAATTATAATGAAAAACATTTGATATAAAACATGTCTAATACATACGAAAATAGTCCTTTCAATCGGAGCACCATCACATCTCGGAGTCCGCCCAGCACGCCTCAACCACCACACCAGGATGCTGCAGACCCCATTGAATTTTTAGCCACCAGTGACATAAAAAATTGGATGACCTCAATCGAGCAGTGTTTAAATGAAGTTTGCCATATTGCACAAGAAGGAAAACTGAACTCTGAACAAAAGCTGAGAATTAATTCCCTATCGCGCAAGGTCGGTAATGCAGCCTCTCAGATGGCAGTTTATTACCAATCTTTGAAGCAAAAGGCTATTTTAATGCACACCTCTCTTGAAGCACTGAGAGAAAAACAAGACCTAATGGAATGCCTAAATGATTTTAGAAAATCTCTCAAGGAAACGATTCAAGAAAGCAGTGCCAAACCATCTACAGAAAAAATGTCCTTTGCTGATATGGTCAAAACTACCAAAAATAATTACTTGCGCCCCAATACTTTCAGTTCCATAGCAATTTACCCTGAAAATAAATTAAAAACAAGTGAAGACACAAAATCTCTTGTCCAGAAAATTATATGCCCCGAACAATTGAAACTACACGTAAGAGGACTACGAAAAACTAAAAATGGAGGCGTTATTATCAACACTGATTCAAAGGAGGACATTGAGAAGTTAAAAAAATCTACCCAGCTTGGTAGTTCCGGACTAAAGGTGGAAGAGCCCCATAAAAGAAGACCAAGGATTATAGTCTTAGGAATACCTACCGCCCTTAGCGAACGAGAAGTCTTTGACTGCATTTTTGAACAAAATTTAGCCGATAAGATCCCTAACTTAACGCGGGAATCTTTTTTGTCCTCTATAAAACTAAGTCATAAATCGGGTAAAAAACAAGCACTTTCATGCAACTTTATTTTGGAACTGCCAGCTGGCATCAGAAAGGCACTTATCAACCAGGAGCGAGTCTTCATAAATTGGACGTCGTGCCCAGTTCGAGACTTCACACTTGTGACCAGGTGCTTCAAATGCCAACAGTATGGACACGCTGCAAGAACTTGCCGGGAAACAATCGACACGTGTGGACATTGTGGTGAATTAGGACATCAGTCAAATGCTTGCATTAAGAAAACTGATCCAGCAAAGTGTGCAACGTGCCTGCGTTTTAAAAAACCGAGCGACCATAAAACAGGTGACCCCGAATGCCCGGCTAGGAAAATGGATGAAAATAGGTATATTAATTCCATAGATTATAATGAGGGCGCCTAAGAGCGCCGCCTTTTTACCTTAATTCTTTTTGCCCTAATTTATAAGTTACTAATAAGTTTAAGTTTAGTTTATATATATATATATATATTTTTTAAATATTGTTATTATTTCTGTTGAATAATATGGATAAGTTAAGTAATGAAATCGATGCTCAGTTTATCAGTGGCAAAAACATGTGAAATTGATATGTGCAAAGAATATCTCTTCAAACCTGCGAACTCTCTTACTATTTTAACACAGAACATTCGTAGTATAAATAAAAACATGGATAATTTCCATATCCTCCTTCAAAGATTGGACACTGACTGCGACATCATCATACTAACAGAATGTTGGCTATCTAAAAGCCAAAGCAACCTCCCATTACTGCCAGGTTACAATACTTTTAGTAGTAAAAATGTATATAACCAAAATGACGGTGTTGTAGTCTTTGCGAAAAAAAAACGAACATATCAGTCGAGGAGCCTAATATGCTAGATTGTAGCAGGTTATTGGTGAAAGTGGGTCATGAAACTGCTATCCTTGCTGTTTACAGACCTTGTGGTTTTAAGCAAATAGACAATTTTATCACGTCATTAGACATTACACTTAGGAAACTGTCGTCGTTCAAAAATATAGTGTTAACGGGTGATATGAATATTGATATTAACCCAGAAGGCAGTGAAGGCGGAGCAAAAGACTACCTTAATATATGTGCATGCCAGGGCCTGCTTCCAGCACATTTGCCTACACATCTAAGTGGTTCTTGTTTAGACCACACTTTACTAAAAACTAGGTTACCATCAATAACCCTTGTCACCAGTCCTATAGTAACCGATCATAGTGCCGTCATTCTTAACTTAAGCCTTAAAATATCGAAACCTAATTGTAAGTACTCTATTACTAAAATTAATACGAAAAACCTTGAACAAGCAATTCAAAACATTGACTTTAGCCCAGTTTATAAAACTGATGACGTAAACATCTCTTTGCCTTACTTAATAAATAACATACGAAATGCCATTGCTAGCAATACTTCGTATAGAACAGTAGCTAAAAAAAATAATAACTTAAAGCCTTGGATTACACCTGGCCTGATTAGGTGCATGAAACACAGGGACAAACTACACCTGATGGCAAAGACCCCTTCAGATAATTCCATTTTACAAATTTCATATAAAAGATATAGGAATTTTTGTAACAATTTATTAAAAAAGTTGAAGTATAATTATCTTACAAACTTACTAGAAGAGTCTGGTAGAGATAATAAAAAGATTTAGCGGCATGTAAAAGATATTGCATTTATTTCCAAACAGCATGAATCTTCGTCAGAATTATTACAAAATAATGCCTCGCCGCTTATATCAGCAAATACAGTAAATAATTACTTTGTGAACGTTGGTAAAAATCTGGCTGAGCAGATAACAAACAACTCTAACAATAATTGTGAATACAGGGCTACTTTATTAACTCAAAAAACCTGCCAATTAAGCTCGTTCACATTATTAGATACGGACCCTAGTGAGGTGGAAAGGATTATAATGGGACTGAAAGAAACAAGCGCGGTTGGATGGGACGGATTACCCACTAGTATATTAAAAAAAATATAGACAAATTCTAGTACCACCATTAACCCATATTTTCAGAATTTGTCTCTCTGAAGGAATTTTCCCAGATTGTTTAAAAAAAGCAATTGTAGTTCCAGTATTCAAATCGGGGGACAAAAAAAAACGTTTCCAATTATCGGCCTATCTCAATACTCTCATCCACGTCTAAAATATTAGAAAAATTAATTAACAACAGATTAATGAATTATTTACAAAGTAAATCCATATTATCGAATATGAAATATGGTTTCAGGCCTCAAATGTCCACTGCTGATGCTGTGCAGGAAATGACCGATTATGTCTCTCAAGAATTAGATAAAGGCAACCAATCAATTGGCATTTTCCTTGACCTTGCAAAAGCATTTGATACGGTTTCTATTCCTATCCTATTAAATAAGTTAGAGAGCATAGGTATTCGAGGTAAGCAGCTTCAACTTTTTAAGAATTATTTAGAAAATCGATATCAATGCATAAAAATCGATAAGGTTGTTAGCTCTGAACAAAAAAATACTCATTTTGGCGTGCCTCAAGGAAGTGTATTAGGGCCAACCCTATTTTTGATTTATATTAATGACCTTTGCAATCTTGAACTTAACTCAGGTAAAATAATATCTTACGCAGATGATACCGTGCTACTTTTTTCCGCAAATACAGTTGACAAGGTTTATACATATGCTCAGCAAGGTTTTGATAGAGTTAATAAATAGCTCCAACAAAACATATTAACACTGAATACGGACAAAACCAAATATATTCATTTTTCTATGCGCAGCTCAACCCAGCATATAACCATTCCAGAACTTTATGCACATCAATGTTACTCAGTCACAGAGTCTAAATGTTACTGCCCAGTTATTTCTAATACAAAAACTGTTAAGTACCTTGGAATAATTATAGATTCTACGTTTACATTTAAAAACCACATAAACCACCTATGCAATAGAGTTCGTAAACTAATGTTTGTTTTTAAAAAAAATCGTTCTTTTGCTGATAATAAGGTAGTAAAACAAGTATATTACGCATTATGTCAGTCAATACTCACCTATTGTATAACCTCTTGGGGTGGAGCAGCTAAAACTACACTACTACCACTGGAACGCGCTCAAAGAGCTGTATTAAAAGTTGCAACATTCCGCCCTATTCTATTTCCATCCCATCTCTTATACAAATCCTATAATGTCCTCTCAGTGCGCCAGTTATTTGTTATGAGCATGTTACTAAAACAGCACTTAAGATTGCCTTATAGAAGAGAGGTCACTGATAAAAGGCGCAAAGATAAAGTAATTGAAACTAACATTAGAATAAGGCATTATTTCATGCATAGATTTTTTACATTTCTCGGCCCTTTTTTGTATAATCAAGTCAATGCAATTTTGTATATATATCCATTAAAAATGGCAGACTGTAAAAAAGGTAATTCGAACATGGTTACAAAATTTGTCATACGATGATACGGAGAAGTTGTTGATTGTTTTAAGTTAATTAATAACATAAGTAAATTAATGATAATATATTTTACCCAAATAACCCTTATTAGTTAGTATGTTATTCATTTTATATAAGAAACAGAAAGTATTTGTTAATGTATCTTTTAGCACATACACCTGAGATACAGGTTTATCCTAGTTCAGGTGCCTGTTATTGTAGACTATTTTTAAGTTAAGACTTATTGGAATAATTTGTACATTTTATCAAAATAAAATAAATTATTATTATTATTAATTATTATAAACAATTACATAGTTCGATTATCCGAACAAACCGGTTTTCCGAACACCTATGTCCCCCAATTAATTCGGATAATCGACGCTCTACTGTAGGTCTATAATTTTCGCAGTTGGACTTACTTCCGGACTTGTGAATGGGTATGATGTGAACCAATTTCCAAACGGAAGGGAAAGCACCAGACTTTAAGGACTTATTATGCAATAATGTTAGTGGTTCACACAGTTCCCTTGCACAATTTGAGAAAAATATAGCGGGAATACCATCATACTCTGGACCTTTGCGAGTATCTAATTTCTTTAATTTGTCCAATATTGTATCCTTAGTTCTATATTACACATACTGAAATTACAATAACTACCACAATTCACAATATCATTAGTAACCAAATTCTGTATGATGACAGGTTGAGAAACTTCGAAAGCTGAACTGAAGTACCGAGAAAAAAGTTCACATATTCCTAGTGTGTCAGAAGAAGATTCTGTACCAAGAGTCATAGTCTGTGGCATACCTGAGCTACCTATTTTATTGCTAACAAAATTCAAAATATTTTTATGTTATCCGATAGACCTTCTTCCATGGAGGTAATAAACGATACGTAGACTGATTCCGTGAGTATTTTACATCTTGTGCATAAGTGTCGTAATCCCTAGGATTATGATATTTTTTAAAACGACGATATTTATTTTTTTCTTTGAGACACTATTAATGCTGAAGTATAGCATGGTGGATATTTGTTATTGATTTTACTTACAAGCGGCGTGTGTTTTGCAATTAACTTTTTCAAGAGAGTGTAAAACTTATTAGACAGCATCGTTTATATCCGGTTCATTCAATAAGTAAGACCAATAAACAGTTAGCTAGATCCTCTTTTAAATCAGGATAATTACATTTGCGGTAGTTATATCTTATTTGTTGCGCACGTTTCATTTATTCAAAACATTTTCAAAAACCGAGAAAGAAAAAAAGTGTAATTGTGATGAAAATCGGTTTCCTAAGCAGATGCTTATAATTAACAGTGGTTACTGAATTTAAAATGAATTAACTAACAAAAAATATACTGATATTTAATAATTACTTTGTAAACATTTCTGCCCTCAGGGTTGAAGAGTGCGAACATATGCCTGCGCGACATAAAGCCTTGCTCCAGATCACGTAACTTGAGTCCATCGAGGGGCAGCATATATTTCTTCTCACGTTCCTCCTCGTCCTTATACCACGAGATGCTTTCAGACGTCAGCACAAACCAGTAGTCACGCGAACCACCTTAATAAAGTATTTTAGTTTGTTCTAAATATACTATCTAATATTAATGTAAAGTAAAGTACAGTTACAGCCTATATACGTCCCACAGCTGGGCAAAGGCCTCCGCTCATTTCTGAGAGGGTTTTAGGGCAAGGAATTGTCCGCCGCGCTGCCCCAATGCGTGTTGGCGAACTTCACATGTCTTTGAAATATTTTTTTCTTATTTCTCTGACATGCAGATCACGATCACGATGTTTTCCTTCACCGCCGAGCACGTGGTAAATCAGCACTTAAAATAGCAATTAACAATTTCATTGGTGCCGGCGGGGATCGAACCCGGTTTGCTCGCGTACTGTGAAATTTACAGCGAGCGCTAACCATCTGAGCTACCACGGTTAATATTAATGATATCAATGTAATATTAATGTCATAATACGAGAAATCAATCGGGAGATTACGACACATCTTGTCACGTATACCTCAAAACTTGAAAACAAAAGCCAGTGTGTGTTGCCACTGATCACATATGAATTTGTGACATGGTCCTTCACTGCTTGCCGAAGTTTCTCCGCATGGTAAACTTAAAAATGAAGATACATACATAGCCTAACAAATAAGTAAGTTGAAGTGACAATGCGCTAGCCTTATAACTCAAAGAACCGACAACTGGCAAGGGTTCTCAAGCGGCAGCCTCGTACTGGTAAGCGAAGCGCATACCGGCTCCGCACTGAATAGAGTGACGACCTGGTTAAAGATGCAGAAAGTCAACGAACTTAGATGACTCAGGAGTGTGCACTGTGGCATTCTATTCAGTAGCAGACTTTTGAAAGGCTGTAATGATGATGAGGATGATGACACGAGAAAGAAGACAATAAAATCAGTCTTTATATTAAACATTGTGATATGTTTTTAAAGAGTTTGATATTATACTGCTACTGGTACATCTTAATAAACAAATAAATACATAACCTTTGATTCAGCCCTAAAGGTGGGTGCGAAGGATCTTTTCAAAACCAACCATAATTGATTTTAAAAAAACGTCATCATTCGTTTATAAAAGGTTCTACCAAAAGGGAAATGTGGAACTGCCCTAAAGCAAATACCAAGGAATGAATATAACTTTTATTAATAGTAGTGAAGAATAGTGGTGAAATGAAGAGGGGGCAACTAAGCATGCGGGTCACCTGATGGTAAGTGTCCACCACTACCCACGAACAACTACAACACCAGGGAATCGCAGGTGCGTTGCGGGCTTTTATAAAGAGTAAGTTTTCGTTTTTCGAAGGTCCCTAAGTCGTATCGGTCCGGAAAAATCGCCGGTTGTAAACATTTTCACAATGATTTCGTGCGAGGAAGAAAACTAGAAAAGTGAACCACCAAGCATCCAGATGATATGGATAGGATAGGTAGTTAAGATAGATGTTCCAATTAGCATTTGCCCAAGGCTCACTTGCAGGTGGCCGAAAGATTTTCCATATCCTTTTCCGTGGAGTTAGGCAATAAGTACTCTATTCTATGGTAAATTGTAATTTAATATGTTCAGGCAGTAAAACGGATTTGATGTTAAAATTAAATAAAATAGTAAAATACTAGTTTTTACGGATTTTATCGCGTATATTTAACTATAAATACCCGACGTTTCGAGCGCGCTTTACAGCACCCATGCTCACGGGGGACTGAGATGTTCAACGTCCAAATGACATAGTTAACAGCGATTACCATAGATAAAAATTTAACTTTTGTTCCGATCTACACAGTATAAACTTATGGTATGGTATGAAGTCTTGCAGTTGTATGCTTGGGTTGGGATTTAATTTTATTTATTATAGGATCCCAAGCAGATGGTAGCACCCAGCCATCTTCTCTATTGAAATTAGGTGTGATTAAAACCCGCGTTAAAGAACATATAGCTGATGTGAAGGATCGACGCTCCGGGAAGTCTGCAGTCTGTGAACACGTACAGGATCGCCTCCGTCACTACATCAGATTTGATAGACCACAAATCCTCGCTAAAGAACACCGATTCCTTCCAAGGATGATTCGCGAGACTATTGAAATCAAAAAAACATCCTAATTTCAATAGAGAAGATGGCTGGGTGCTACCATCTGCTTGGGATCCTATAATAAATAAAATTAAATCCCAATTCAAGCATACAACTGCAAGACTTCAAGATACCATAAGTTCATACTGTGTAGATCGGAACAAAAGTAAAATTTTTATCTATGGTAACCGCTGTTAACTATGACATTTGGACGTTGACTCTCAGTCCCCCCGCGTGACCATGGGTGCTGTAAAGCGCTCGAAACGTCGGGTATTTATAGTTAAATATACGCGATAAAATCCGTAAAAACTAGTATTATTTTTTTTTTTTTTGGTATAAACTTATTAAAAATAGTTGGGTGTTTTTTTTTAATATTTTTTAAAAAATTTTTTTTTTGTTTTTTTAAAAATATTTGTGTGGGGGTTTTTTTTTTTTTATTCCTTTTTCAATGTGTAGTGTTCGCGTAATTATAAGAAATCATTATGTAAAATAGTAAATTTACCTTTCATAATTCCGAGGTTGTGTATGCACATGAAACCCTTTCTTATGACTTGGTTCCCAAGTGTGCGGTGTCCAGATTTCGCAGCACTTTCAGACTGATTCTGAGCACTAATTACAAAATAATATTTTTGAAATGACTGTAATTTAAATTTTATAAAAAATTAAATTTAAAAATAAATAAAATATGTAGAAAGGATAGACAGCGTAAAATATGAAACTGGCTTAAAATGAGTCTATGCTACTTACTGACATCAAAAATAAATATTAACAATAATTGTTGTTAAAAATGTACTTTTTCAAAGCCTGCCTGTTGTTAAGTCAATTAACTAATCTAAAATTAAGGCATATTAAAAAGATTATATTTTTTTTTATATATACTTACAAAAAATTCAATAAAATTATTTATTATTGCCTTCTGGTAATGACATAGTATCCCATTAGTCAAGTTATGTTTAAAGATACTTTATTTCTCATTAAAGACAAATTATTTATAATATTAAAGACAAAAAAGAAACCTTTTTCTCACGACATAACAGAAAAAGGCAAAAATAACAAAATTAAATGATTTTGAACCACAAAAAAACACACAAAACATAACATAAGCTAAGCTAACAAATTGTTGCACTAAATATTATCTATGTAATAAAAATTAAGGTCTATTTTCATACAGTGACTCAAATATCTGTTGATAAGACATTTTTCTAGCTGTACTGTACTAGAAAGACTAGACCTAATGAGACATGCAAGGAGTCAATGGATACAGGTGACTGAGGACGATTCATAAATTAGTCCCTCTAGCGGCAGGGTCGCGAGCACAAGCTAGACCTGAACAGTAGTCAATTAACTAGGAAGGCGAACACAGGTTTACTTCACGCGATTGCGCGATCATGCGTCATCATCTATTGGATACTCATGTGTTATTCATATACTTCACATTTCCTAGGAAGTGTATATGGGCAGACTTCACCTCATTATTTTAGCTAAGTGTTTACAAATCGTATATGATTGCCAACCTTACTATAATATAATATAGTATTGTACTACTGTTGTACTATATACTGTTGAAAATTTATAAATACTATACAACACCGAAATCTAACAAACAAATCCTTAATTTTCATAATTTATGAACGCGCCCTTACATTAACTGTTGATCATTGCGATAGCGTGTATCCAGCAAGATTGTTGTATTACTATACTCAATAGCAACCATTCTGAACAGCCAGAGACAATGTGACATGTGACGTATAGATTAAATTTTTCTTTTGCGATTTTAGTAATTATTTTCCGTATATCATATGAAATAAATAAGTAACAAATATATCTTTGTCTATTTTTTGGTTTTTACCATAAAATACTATATTTTTGAAGTATGCTATAGTTTTTGTAGCTTATTTAAAAAAAATACTATATTTCGATGAAGAAATGTTGGTAACCCTTAATTCATGCTTCTAGCCGTTCACTCGCGCCTCGATTATATATTATTTATATACTTATCTGTCGCATTTTATTGGTACAATCAAAACAAAACATTGTTGTTTAGACTGTTTCATAGAAAATAAAATTTGAAGCCAGGTTACTTGCTATACAAGTGCAAGTTATTTAAAATATAATCGCTCTGAGTGATGGGAATAAGAACCGGCATGGAGGGAATATGGGAAAAAGAACTACGCTATAATGATTACGACTACAGTATGAATAATTCAGGGAAGGATCACGCTTGCCAAGATAGATTACTAGCGTGAAGTAACAGCATTATTAGTGCTGTTTTTTTTTAATGACGTGACCCTTTTAATAGTAAAAAACATTCAAGCGAAATACTTGATCTTGACCAAGAATCACAACGCAATTTGCCTTTTGATTTTTGGTCAAGGATTAATGTAGTTTTCTATGGGCCGTAGCATCGACTTACCAATTAGGTGGGCTGTGTGCTCGTTTGTCGCCTTTGCTTCTATAAAAAAAAAAACGAATAATTCGAGTTTGAGTTCATTTGGCCTGTTTAGGTTCGTAGTTATGATAAGCTATGGTGATGATGGTGATAACGATGATGTTGGTGGTGGTGGTGCGCGTGCACGTACTTAGCGAAGCCGATGAAGTCCTCGTGGTTGGTGTTCATGTAGGCGAGCTCGCAGTCGACCAGCAGCACCAGCTGGTCCTTGCACTGCTGCTCTCGCGAGCGCACGTGCGACATGATGATGCGCTCCGTCTCCTCGCGCAGCCGCGGGTAGCGTGACATCTGGACAAACAAGCCTCGCCCTCAATTCCACACAATACATTTTTCTACATGGTAGAGCCATGTTGCAGATATATTATAGTTGTAGCACGAGTGGGGCGACTCTCTCACAGAATAACAACGTGAAATAGCAGCTTTATGTTGCTGTTGCGTATGGTGAGTGTAGAGAACCAGAGAATCTTTTTACTGGAAATGAAACATTGCATCTTAGTCCTCATGGGTGACAACGCATCTGCATTTTGATTCTTAATCAAGGATAGATGTAGATTTTGGGCACAAGCTGTGAGCTCGTGTGTCAGTCTTATACTATATAAAAAAAACTGAAGTGACAAACAAACTTCCTGATGGTAAATCGCTACCAAAGTCCATGGACATGTGCCTCCAACTGCAAACAAAGAAGGCCACAGATGCGTAATCACCATTAAGACCTAAGATGAAATACCTCACAGCCTTCAATTATATTGCTTTTTGGCGGCAAAAATAGGTATGAGGGTGGTGCATACCCAGACGGACCCCATGTCATTTTTTTATATAATAAGGGTGACAAACGAGCACTCAGTCCACCTGATGGTAAGTGGATGCTATGGCCCATAGACATCTACGTTTATCCTCGATTAAGAATCAAAATGCAGATGCATTGTCACCCCTGATGAATAAGACGGAACGCCTCGATTCCAGTAAAAAAAGGGTCTCCGGATCTCTACACTCACCACACGAAACACAGCAGTATTAAGCCGCTATTTTACGCTGGTATTCTGTGACAGCGTGGTCCTTCCACGGTCGAGCCAACCCATTTGTGCAACAACCATTATACCAGCAGCGTGGCTCTAATGATTTTCAACTTAACTCCATTCATTCATTACAGTCATAGAATACTATAATACATATATAATAGAACGGGGGAGTGGACGGAGCCCAGGTAGCTACTAACATGTCAATTCACACGTATAAATGTTAACACAATCAATCGTTTCCAATTATCGTGTCAAGCGTCGCTGCATGGAAATTATTTAAAAAATGGCAAATTGTGCAATAATTACGAGTCGAAAGAACAGCGGGAAATGGAATTTAATAAAGGAGACATATTCTACAACCAGTAAGTCTAAACTATTAATATTTTGTGAATTTTAAAAACAAAAATAAAGAAATATTTATGTGTCAAAAACATTAATCAAAGTCTAAAATGTGTATGTAGTAGTGATAACTGATAATACGACCTAATTGCTTGTATGTGTGCTCCCGGCGACGCCAATCCTCCTACAAAGTAAGGTTGACAGCCATTCTAATGTTATATATATATATATATATATATATATATATATATATATATATATATATATTCTATGATTACAGTTTATCAAAAATCCACTTCTGAATGAATATAGGCTTCTCCATAGATTGCCTCATAAAGGCCCATTTGCCATTTGGATTGGCAAATACAATTTATATTATTTTGAGTTGTTATCAGGATGAAGCCGTTGCCTATCACCAGTTTCATTTCCTTTAGTCGCTAATATGAAATCTTGGAACCGACAGTTGTGCATTATATGTGCATGTTGTCAGTTGTACATTAAAAGTGCTCTATGTATTTTTTGCAGTAAAAATCATGCTATGTTTTTGATTACCACAATTAATCTGATTAGTTTTCATGTTTATTAGAAGAAAATTGCACATTACATTTTTCTAATACACTACAAATTTAACAGACATATTTGAAACTGCTCAAAAATTTATTTAGTCGATTACTACTAGATAAACTTTCGAGCAGTTTCAAATAAGCTCACTCATTAGAACAAAAAGACAAAACAAAATAATCTCTAACCATTATGCACGGAACAAGTATTTGTATGGTCTACAAGTAGTTGTTCTGGGTCTGGTTATGTTATGTTTGTCCTTATGAAATTTATGTTTGTAAACTGCTCCTACGATACAAAAAAAATCTTAGTGTGGTGGTAAAGTTTAATAAAAAAAATATTGACAAAAATCACAAATATCAAATATACAAATGATTCTTACCCGTTCAGTACACATGCGAACAACATTGGAAAGCTCTTGAACAACTAGATCGACGCATTTCAAGCAGGGTTCCTTTAGTCGCGCGATCTGCTTCTTTACTATAGCCTCGAATGCCATATCAGGTGTGAACAAGCCCACCTATAATACATATAGGATATACGATTAGAAAGAAAAACGCTTATTCATCACAACACAACATACACTAGAAAATAAGACCAGTACAACAATAGTATGTTTATACATACACTGCAGACATTGTACTGCCCCTGGGTGGCATGATGAATTTTTATCTGAATTTATTTCGAACTTTTACAGTATAATATGAATTTTATTAATATCTCAACTACAACGTCATCATGACCAAATTTTGTCCTTTTTGTTTTTTGCACCAAACTGTGAATATAAGTTTTATTTGGTCCACAATTATGGAATATTATGTTATTAATTTCATTACAGCAACAGCTAACCTTGCATAGCTATGACCCGTAATAACACAATCACCAACAGATACACAAATATTTATACATATATAAAAATTTGATTGAAGGAATGAATAGATATGGTAAAATCATAGAATACTATAATACATACATAATAGAACGGGGGAGTAGTGGGCGGAGCCCGTATAGCCACTAACATGTCAATTCACACATATATATGTCAATACGAGATGTGTTTTGACGTTACAATCGTTTCCAAATTTCGCATGCGAATTATTTTAAAAATGTCAAATTGCACCCTATTTACAAATAAATATGTATTAAAATTTAAACGATTTTTAATTCTATTGTGTATTATAGTATTCTATGGGTAAAATATTATATAGTACTTTGAATTATTTAATTTAGATAAATACATACCCTAATACCATGAATATTTCGGATCGCAAATGCAATCTCTCGGCGTAGCTCTTTCTCGTCAATCTCCATCTTTACAATTTCAAAAGGAAACCGCTCGTGGAATAGCCTGTTGATCTTAGCACCACCCGACAGTTCATTTGTGTTGATCTGTGCAGATCCAGATCCCTCTATGGTCTTCTCGAATTCTGTCTGAAGCTGTTGGATCATTCTGTAATAATAGAAGAAGTATATTTAATTAACTCTTAGTATTATAATAATAATAATATATCAAATTCATATTTAAATTTTGAATAGTTAAAATGCAAAAGCTTTTAAATTCTACCTGCACTTTTAAATGAGCTGTTATAATAAATATGGTTTACAATAAATTACCTTTCGATATTAAAATGTCCAATAAAATTACATTCTTCAAAAACAAACTAAAACAATATGTAATCAACAATATTAAATTAATTTATAAGCCCAGATATAGTGTATAGCATACCAATGTTATTAATTACAGCCCACATTACGTTGTTTTTTTTTATTTTTTGCTTGTAGTTTCTTTACAATGACATTAGATGTTGCATTTTATCATTTAAGTTTGTTTTAATCGACGTAAAAATCCTTGTCTAACATTTTTCTTTTAAATTTTCATTAAGTGAAATAAGGTATTTCTATTAAGAAATAAAGTTTCTTTGACCAAAATCAAAGCCATTAAACATATCCCACCATTTATCATTATTACATTATTCACTAAAAAAAAAACTTGTCAAAGCAAAAAAACTGCACTGAAATGGTGTAATGATCAGTCTTGTAAGATAGTCACGACTGTCTAAAGAAGGCAATCATATTTTTCACATATTGTTTGTTCTGTTGCATGCTTAAAAAAGGTACAAGGTACGTTTTTGTACCTGTACAAAAATTAAAAGCGTAAAAAAGTTAAGTAAAATTCTGTATATAATTAATACTAGCTTGCCAGGCAGACGTTGTTCTACCCTTTTCGACGACAATTTGTCATATCCTATTAAAAATCCTTAAACTCGCAAAAAAATTGTGGGCAAAAAAACTATCCTATCTCTCAAGTTGGGCCAAACTACACACGCTGTGCAAATTTGATTAAAATCTGTTAAGTAGTTTAGGAGTCCATCGCGGACAAACAACGTGACACGTAATTTATATATATATATTACGATTAAGAGGATATCTTGAAAATAAATCGTAGTTTTGGGCGCGTGGCTTATTCCTTTGTCGGTGAACACAAGCAAGAGCTCACGGATGAATGAGGGAGTGTCAAAATGAAAGTGATGCAATGACTTCATAATACGCAAATTATGAGATAGCTATACCGAGCGCACGCTCGGAAAAAACTAAGTAAGCGCCAAACAACATTTTTATTTTTTTTAACAAAACTGCGTTATGGATTAAAAAAATGATTTATAAGAACTTAGATATGATTATTTACTATGCCTTAAAAATAATTCCATAAACTTATTCGTAAAATTATTGTGGTGTCTTGGAAAAATTTAACTTATTAGAGCCTACTTTGGATTTTTTTTCTATGGAAAAAATTTCATGATATCATGTTATCCAAGGTCATATAGTCAAAAATCATATACCAAAATTTTGGTTAGTAATCTATTAACCTTAAGAAATATGTGAAATAGAAAAACCACCAAATTATCGCCTTAAGTAAATTTCTTGCTGAGCACAAAGTTGTTTTTACTTCTGAGACGACTGTTGAGAAAGCCTAGTGTAAAGCTAGCCTTAGCTAGGCTTCCTATACCTTTTTTCTTCTTCTTTTCTTGAAATAACTTTAAATTCTTCATGAAAATGTCTTCTTCTAGTCTTCCAGACTGAATTTCAATTACCGCGGCCAGTCTCCACGGAAACCAGCCATCTATATTCCTTCACTGTCATAGTCCAATTGAACGGAAATTGGATACGACCGAAAAGAGATCTGGCGCAGTACAAACGGCTTTACGGCACGGGAGTGAAACATTGCCATATTCCTGGGTTCGAATTTCTTTACAAAACAACTCAAAAATGATGAAGTGTAAATGAAGTGTAGCAGTATATCCTACCACCGAGATCAATTAACTCGAGTGTATGGTATACTTACTGCAACATGGCCTTGGTCTTGATAGAGGGGTCGTCGGGGCGGAAGTGCTTGTACTGCTCGACATCCTTCTCGAGCGCGAGCAGCTGCTTCTGGAGCTTGTCGCGCAGGCCAGGCAGCGTGTCGCGGATGTGGTTCGTGAGCTGCTGGTTGAGCACGCGCTGCAGGTACGGCGTGCCCAGCCGGTCCGCCAGGTGCCGGTACGCCGGGTGGCTGCCGAATGCCCACTCGTAGTAATCACCATATTATATACAACACGTAACATAATTAACGCACTTTGAGTAGTTTGTTCAGAATCGTTTACTGAATCGATTCCTATCCTTTTTAATATAGGTAATTTTTTATCCCAAAAATAATAAAAACTACGTAAATTACAGTCACACTAAATCTGTACAGTCAAAACAAACTGAAATGGACCGTAACTTAAGGCAATAAGACTTTTAAGAGTGCAATTTTATTTGTATTATTACTAATTCTGTCATTCAATAAAAATAAAGAAAAATGAACTTTATTTCAAGCACGTTAAAGTCTTTGTGTTCGTGGATTTGTACTGTGACCACAACATTCTTCCGGAATTAGTACAACTAATTTGATAAATAATTAGTGCATAAAAATATTTAACTAAAAATTCAGTGTATGTATTATGATTATAACATAATATACTAATTGGGGTGTCTGAGGGTGTGCGTTAATTACGTTACATATTATATATGTGATCACCTATTTTTTTCATTTATTATATCTAATGCTAATGTGTTTTATATGATGAGTAGAAACGCAGACCCTTTTTACTGGACACGAGGCATTTTATTCTTAAGCTTTTCACTGCCGTGTCATTTGCAGGTCACTTTGTACGGAGTATTGCATTTAAGACGTGACCGACGGCAGTTAAGGTAGGACCGCACTAGGCGGAACTGCACCGCAGCGGAACTGAGCGACACCACGCATTAAAATATTCTTTATATAAAATTATATGAGACAACACGCACTAAGCGGCAACGGAACTACAACTGCAGCAGAACTGCGCGGCAAAGTTGATCAACTGACCAACTCGTGTCGCTCAGTTCCGCCTAGTTCTACCTTCGCCTTCTTCATATCGCGAGTTTGATATGTCATGTAGCCATATTCTTGCTCGATCCTTTCTACTTCCTCACACAACAAGGAAATAATAATCATATCCATTTCATCGTTCATCTTGCCCAGAGGTTGCCTAGCTACTGAATATATTTTTGTAGCGCCACTGTAGTTCAAGTGCGGTTTACCAAAAAACTACGCGTCGTGTCGCTCAGTACCGCTGCGGTGCAGTTCCGCCTAGTGCGGTCCTACCTTTAAAGTGTTTAACGAAGATAGCTATAACTTTAACTTATTATTTATTTTGAATTTTATTTGTGTAGTTAAACAATACCTTCTTAGTTTTTGTATTAGAAGCATTACTTTTAAAGTCCGATGTCAACCATGTTATATTAAACTATCGTATGGTATATCTTGAAGTAAATCTGGAAGCTCCAGTGACAAACCGTTTTGTAACATCGCATGCAGGGTCCTGAGATACAAGCTGCGCTTAATTTAGGACCCGCAGTTACCTGTGTCTCTGTAAAGTTACTTATGTTATTAAGATTAATAATAATAATAACTTTACACCGGTGTTCTGCGAGAAAGTGGTTCTTCTCCAGTGGTCGAGGCACCCTATTCGTGCTACAACTATAAAATAAGCTGCAGCATAGCTCTACCACGTATAAAATGTAACAGTACTTTAAAACGTTTCCCCTAGCAAACAACCTTGAGCGTTAGGTCCTATACAATCCACGCGCTCTCGCTACAATACGAGAATATTGCGTAAAAATACGCCGGAATTTTTTGGAATTATTTCAATTAAAAAGAAAAGCGAACTTAAGAAATTAAATAAAACGTGGATAAAATAGATTTTTAAATTATCTATCCAATTAGTGTAATCCTCAAATCATTAGTGTTGCCTTTAGCAACAGATGCATGTAATCAGTAATTTTAGTTATTTTTTAAAAGTAGATTTTAAATGTATTTATAACACATAAAAACAAATTAGAACGTGGAATGTGATGATAGGATATCGAACATTAATAACGTGCTTTTAGATAGATATAGCTTATTTCTCATAACTAATGAGATAATAGTCTCTAAAAACGCACTTTTGCAAGGTTTTGGTCGGGGTACCGCCTTAAATACGATTCTTTATATGATTCTCGCGAAGTAAGTTCAAATAGAATAGCTTTTACTTTTAGTCCTTTTATAGGGATACCTTAAAAAGAATTTCCTCTCAGCAGCCATAGCAGCCGCGATATCCTTTCGGCCGTCGATGTCCTTCTGTGAGCGGTTGACGACACCGATGTAACCACGACGTAGCGGCAGCAATTTATTCTCGAGCACATCCCGAGCATCCGTACCTTCGTCCATCAAGTCCAGCTTGGTGATAACACCGATAGTTCGGAGACCTGCACGTTAATAATCAATAGCAGGATTATTAACGTCTGTATTTAGAAACTCTTCATTAAGATGATACTCTCAATTTATGCTCAATTTCTTACTATTAAAGTATCAATAAAACGCAATAAACGAACCAATTGGAGATGATATTATGATTTAGTTAATATTAGCGATTGTCATCGATGTAGTGTCGGAGGCGCAGAAACGATTTCATAATCCAAAATCTTTTAGTTATACGTATCAAGTATATAGTCGCATGTAATTCCTACCACACGTCATTTGTTTTATGAATATAGTTAAAACCAAACCTTAGAATTACAAATTAATATCATTCATTTCAATATATTACTTAAAACCAAAACAGGAAGACAAATTTCATTGTGGGCGCAAACAATAAATAAATTCACAATAATCTAACCTTGCGGATCCACCTCTTTGGCAAGTTTCAAGGCATCACTATTCGCGAGGTCGGTGTTTGCCGGTGTGACGGCGAGTATGAGGCAGGACTCACGACGTATGAACTGGAAGATCATAGCTTTGATCTGCTGCTCGATGTCAGGGGGCTGATCGCCGATTGGCACCTTCGTCAGGCCCGGCAAATCGATCAGAGTCAGATTTAGCACTGGAAATGAAGATGGTAGTTTTATTTTTTTAAATGTCTGGTATATAAATATATTTTGTTACAATGTTCTATTTATTAAATTATTGTTTAAAGCTCACAAAACAAAGTCACGCAAAGTAGAATTGAATTTTGACCTAGTACAATACATCAAGTTCCAAACCAAAAACAAAGATATCTAAAGATAATTCATTATAATTTTAGGAGCTGTAATTTATTTTAAATACATAATTTTGTCCTCGATAGAGTGCTGATTTAAGAGTACAAAGAAATATACAATCACTAACAGCTGATTGTATAATATTCTAGTCGCTATAGAATTTTTTTTAAATTTGCTATAATTTATGAGATATTATACAGAGTTATTTTGCAATAACCGGCAAAATTTGCAGAGAAGCTTCAGGATCAGTAATATAGGCAAATGGTAAGAAAAAATTAATCAAATATTCTGTCTTTTTTATCTTTTAAATTCAAAATGTGTGGTAATGCATTATTTTAACTGATTTTATTGTGCACGCACACATTCATAAGGGTCGAACGGTAGGCAAAAACGTTGTTGCCCATATATCACATTCAATTTTGGATAATTTCAAATAAAAATAGAAACCTTATTTACTCATATTTTCAAAAACTGCAATAATGGTATATCATTATTTATATATTATATATTTAAAATTATGTTTAAAATTGCCTACTCTTTGGTGGAGTTTGAGTTTGTTTGAACTCAAGATAGCATCTAATATTAGGTATAAAACCGGCTTTTAACACACTAAATTAATACAATATAGGTTCTCATTATTTTTAATGCACTATGATAAACATTAAAACGGATGCAGGTGGCTAAGTGTCGTGTTTTGAGCTGTAGTGATGATTTGCGTCTCTAATATAATAAAAAATAATATAGTAAAAATGTGGAGGGATAATTAAAAATAAAACACAATTGGAACACACAATAAATTAAAACTGAATCTCACAACCATCCCTCAGAGATGGCAACGGTGGGTTAATATTTATTTCAGAGAGAACGAAAAATCTGGGAAGGTAACACCTAGCCGCCGAGCTCCAGAACGTCAAGCAAGTTTTACACTCGATACGTCATTGGAGAATTTTAAGTGAAACCGACCACAGTCGAGCGTGTTGCACGACCCTGATTGTTCTGTCATATATCAGAGGTGTCACAGACAAGATTACACCTACATCTTGAAGCGAGCTTAAGAGATAAATCATTTTAAACTGTAGGTAGCCACCTCTGTCACCCTTGACAACGCGTGCTGCAAAGTACTCGAACGTCAGAAACAAAAAAAAAACTTTTCGCTTAATTATCTGCGTGGCCTGATAATAAGCTGTATGGCTCTATCACATAAAACTTTTTACTTTACAACTCTAGTTAGATATAAAGTCAGGTAATTGATAGAATCAGGCGTTACTTTGCGGAAATCCATTATAATAAAAAATAAAAAATCCAGGTAAGACACATCATTGTATTTATTTAGCGGAAGGTTACGAAGAAATTTATATTTTTATTTTTTATTATAAAGTCAGGGATCGAAAAGCTATAGGTTAAGAGGATACCTTGAAAATTAATCGAAGTTTTGGGGGCGTGGCTTATTCCTTTGTCGGTGAAGCTAACGGAAGACTGAGGGAGTGTCAAAATGAAAGTGATACAATGACTTCATAGTACCTACGCAAATTATGAGATAGCCATATCGAACAAGCGCTCGGAAAATAACTAAGAAAGCGCCAAACAACATTTTTATTTATTTTAACAAAACTTCGTTGTGGATTAAAAAACTGGTTTATGAGAACTTAGATATGATTGTTTACTATGCCTTAAAATAATTCCATGGACTTATTCGTAAGAATATTGTGGTGTCATAGAGAAATGTAAATAATTAGAGCCTACTTTGCAATTTTTTTCTATCGAGAAAATTGGATGATATCGTGTTTTCCTTTTATGCAATCCAAGGTCATATAGTCAAAAATCATATACCAAAATTTTGGTTTGTAATCTATAAAACTTAAAAAAAAATATGTTAAATAGAAAAACCACCAAATTTTCGAGGTATCACCTTAAGTTCTTTATCTTCGCACGGGTGATATCCAACTAACCCTGTAATCTTCGCGGAAGTGCAAGCAACATGTCAACAAACTTTTACCTCAATTTAATGAACAATATGGCAGCGCATAAAATACGAATAAACAAATATTATTTTTTTATATATTAGATCATACAGAGCAATTCTTTCAAATATTTCAAGGGCTTGAACACATGAACCGACACACGAATGGAAGTAATTCAATTTATTTAGACAATTAAACAAGTCTGGCCAATTTAAACTGCCCTGTTTTGGAGTGATATTTATAACACAAGGACATGTTGTTCAATAAAGGACGAAAAGAAATATGAAAATAATATATTAGACACCATATCGAAACAACGAACAAGATATTCGATTATATTTTAACCTAGTGTAATAAAAATTATTTATGCATCAAGCCTTACCTAAACATTGCCGATGTGGATATTTTAAGTTTATTGATATTTTAATAAACAATTTAATTGTAAATCTAATTAAAGGACAAAAATAGCAATTATTATTGCCAAGCAAATAAAAGTTTTGATGTGGAAAGAGTCAATTGTGGAGTATTGCAGTCAATTTTAATATAACAAAAAAAATTAAATGGTATATTTATATAAAATAAGGACGTAATTTGATGATACATACTCTCGATATCAGAGGAAAGATTTATCATAACTTTATACAAGGAACATAAGTGGATAATTCAATGAGCATGGGGGAAATGTATGATTGTAAAATTCCCAAAAGTAATTACAGATCCGGAAAGTTGGTACTTGTTATCATTATATTCATAGCAATATAGTATTAAAAAAACATAAAATATAAAATTGCGCAGATTTATTGTTTTTATAAAATACTCGGTGTTAATTAAGTGATAACGAGAGAAAGCGTTACTACGTTAGTTTTAATAACAGATATAATGAAAGAAACATAAAACAGCTCTTTTTCTTTTCCTAGTTAGCAACTTGATCCCTTTTATATTTATTTAAAAACTAGAAAGAGACGTGGTAACTCATGGGTAACTAAGCGTTGGCTGTAAATTTCATAGAACGCGAGCAACCTGGGTTCGATCCCCACCGGCACCAATGAAATTGTTAATTGCAATTTTAAGTGCTGATTTACCAAGTGCTCGGCGGTGTAGGAAAACATCGTGAGGAAACCGGCATGTCTGAGAAATAAGAAAAAACATATTTCGAACACGTGAAGTTCGCCAACAGGCACTGAGGCAGCGCGGCGGACATTTCTTTGCCCTAAAACCATCTCAGAAATAAGAGGAGGCGGGTGCCCAGCAGTGGCACGTATTTAGGCTGTAACTTTATTTAAAGACTGTATGACTGTGAAGTATATGAGTTTAATCTGTGTACAGAACGCTAAGTCATGTTAAAATACATTAGCGAATTAACAACAATAAGGACGAAGCTGTTCTGATCGTCTAGTCTAGAGGCATATTTTCGCACGACACGTGAGAATTAAAAAGATAATTGTGAGTAGATAAGATACGGCGGCTGTAATGTCATCACTGTTAACGACGTGGACCATCGTTAAACATCTCCAAACTACATGTATCTACAACATTTCTTACATAAAATATGTTATAAAATTACCTATTTCAAACAAAAGTTTATTAAAATCTTATTTCATGCACTGTCAAGTACGAGGATTTGTTTTTATTTCAAGGAGTTTTTAAAACATGTGTAATCGCCACCCGGTATTGAGATCGGATTAACGGTTACGCCTCACACCTTAGTAGCTGCTGATGACTTAATGACGTTAACGAAAGATCTTTGTGACCATACAAAATTTTATATGAAAAAAAAGTTAAGCAATCCGCACTATTAGCTAAGATAACTAAATATCCATACAAAGCAGTATTTTTTTACAAAAGTAAGCAAAATAAAACTATTTGCAAGACAATTAATTTGTCAATATTGACAGATAACGTTATCTCAAACTATAAATATGGAATTTACACGGCGTATATCGGTCACCGAGTATATTTATTTCTATAATAATAACAATACAAATGCTCCATTCATAGTGATTGGAAATTATTTCAACTTCTTTTGTTTCAGGATAAAAATTATAAACAGAAGCAAAGTCACTTTTGTCATTTACTGTAACGATTTTTTATTTTAGAAAACATTCAGCTTCATTAATACAGTGCAAGTGCAACATCGATATAACAAATCGGAAGGGAACAAGTAAATATTGAAAACTGAGGTTTGTTATGTAGAGGTTAGGTTAGTCTACGTAGTCGTAAAATTTGTTATAAAGAGGTAAAAAATAGTTTTATTCACAACTTCTACCAATAAACTTTATAATAAAGGTTTTGGGTTGCCAAAATTCGTTAATAAGAGGTATTTACATTTTCTTGATAGTTGTAAATTCTTTATAAAGAGGTTGTTCGAGAGAAACGTTCACAATGTAAAGGTGTATATTTTATATTGAATCTTATGGACAATTTAAGGGGATCACGAATAATTTGTTAAATCAAGGAAGTCGTTATACTGAGGCACGTTATATGAAGGTTGCACTGTATATACCTAATTTTTTTTAATTTAGTTACAACGAATGCTACATACATACTTGGTCATTGGATAGGACAAAATACTAATAGTACTTATACAAAATTTTAATGTGACATCCTTTAAAGTTATATTAGTTTGACGATATATAAATAAACTTAGGCGCTATGTAAGTAGCTTAATGACGGGTAAAATTAAAAATAATGAAATTAGATGTTTATCCAAAATATTATAACGTAGATATAAAATTACAGGCTCTATCAAAAATCGTTTTCTCACATTGTTATTCTTACAAACAGGTAGATTTTAAGCTAAGCCGCAGATTAATCCTGGGACACTTCTTGTTTTCAATTATGGCTTCTCTTGATAGAATTCTGCCAGTGTCAAGACAGTATTG